AAACTCCTTATTTTATTTTATTTATTTATTTTTTGCATTTAGTTGTTTGAGCAGCTCACAGAAGTCAGGGAAACACATTTACTGGTATATTGTAAAGTACAATGATCCAGATGAAATGATGCCTGTAGCCACAGATGCTGTGCTTAGACACCCTCTGTGGCTCACAAACTGCACAGGAACCTCCCTGTGAACAGCTCTCTGGAAACCCTCTGAATGATGTCATGTGGAGGTATGGTATTTTATGGAGACTTCATTACATATGAAAATAGAATTAAATTACTGAACACTAGTAGCCGACTCCTACTCCTGGAGGTAGGGGTGTAGGTGGAGCTGGTGCAAAAATCCTAATCCCTATGAATGTTTGGATTGCCTCTTCTATTTCCTTGAAGAATGAGGTTGGAATTTTGATAGGTATGGCATTGAATTTGTAGATAGCCTTGGGAAGGATTGCCATTTTCATGATGTTAATCTTTCCAATCCAGGAGCATGGGAGGTTTTGCCATTTTCTAAGTTCTGTTTTGACTTCCTTTTTCAAGATTTTAAAGTTTTCATCATAGAGGTCCTTCACTTCTTTGTTTAAGTTAATTCCTAGGTATTTTATTTTTTGTGGGGCTATTACAAATGGAGTTGCTTTCCTAATTTCAGCCACGCTTTTCTCATTGTTGACATACAGAAAAGCCATTGATTTTGGGGGGGTTAATTTTATACCCTGCTACTTTGCCAAAGTTTTGAATCAGCTTGAGTAATTTGGGAGTGGAGTCTATGGGATTCTTTAAATACAAGATCATGTCATCTGCAAAGAGGGAGAGTTTTATTTCTTCTTTCCCTATTTGGATCCCCTTTATGTTTGCATCGGAAAAAATGATATTAAGTGAAGTAAGCCAAGCCCAAAGAAACATAGGTGCCATGGTTTCCCTTATTTGCAATATCTAGTATGAGTCAAGCAGAAAAGGTCAGATAATGTGATGCTAGGAAAATGAACCCTTAGATATGTATTTAAATGTTTTTTTCTTTCATGCATTTGTTTCTAACACATTTATAAGATTATTTCTTTGTTGCTTTGTATGTCCCTCCCCCACAGTATAACCCCTGCTTTCACTATATTTGATGTCGGTATAATTTGTGGAGGAGATGGGGAAATACAAGTCGTTTAGGGATACAGGTGGACCCGTTGCAACAATGAGAAGTACAAGTTGTCATATCGAAAACGAACATTACAACTTTAGTGGGGGGGGGAGGATTGGGGGGGGGCCGGGGGAGGCTGGGAAGGGATGTAAAGGGTAAACAAAGGAGGAGGCTGCAATGCTTGATAAGAAATGTACTCATTATCTTGCCCATGTAATTGTAACCCCTCTGCACAGTTTGTTTACACACAAAAAAAATCCTAATCCCTAATCCTTCCCAAGCCTCTCTACACCTCCTTGAAGCCATCCGGGACTGTGATTCCCCCACCTCTTGTCAACACATTGACCAACAAAAGATGATAACTTTAAAGATTCCAAGGTTGTTAGGACTTCTGTGACAGAGACAGAGACCACTTACATAATTTATGATCACATGGCCCTAAAAAGTAGTGGCATTTATTTTTTCCACAGTTCTGGAGGCTGGAAAGTCCCTGATTCCTAGATGGTGGTGAAAGGCAGCTGGCTATGTGTGTATATTCACACTCTGGGAATGTATATTACTAGTTCTATGTGGTCTCTTTTATGAGGACACAAATCCCACTCATGACTTAATCACACCTGGGGATTCATTTCCTACTGTGATCACTTTAGGGGTTAAGATTTCACACACACACACACACACACACACACACACACACACAAAGGGGGAACACAAACAGGCCATAGCAACACACTACCAAATCTCATATCAAAACTATGTTAGGTGTTCACTGTTTGTTGCTTGAGTAAAAGAATGAGGCCCTAAGAGAGTGAGGGTCTGAAGCTTAGACCACTACATCTGATGATTCACTGTATCTCTTAGGCCTGGCACATAGTAAATTCGTTCTAAATGTTTCTGAGATAAGGAAATGGATTGAATATTATTCTAAGCCAGGCATTTTCTTGTTCATTTACAATTTTTCCTATGTGTTCATGACTTTTCCCAGTGAAAAAAGCCAACTTCCTTTCACAGGCACAATTCTGAGATCTTGTTTAGATTTTTTTTTTCCCCTCCCTAGTCCTACTAATTCCTGCCCACATATTTGTTATTTGAATCTGGATTTTTATAAACATTCTAGAACAGATAGAGGATATATAATAGACAAGAACCAAAAAGTGCCTTATTTCACTGCATGCGGCCTGGGAGAAAGTTACTATTCAAAGTCAAGTCAGCTCTGGTCTATTTAAAAGTTATGAAGATTAAATATGGTTAATATTTGTGACAATGTTCCAAAGAGACAAGGGTACATTATAAAGATAGCCATAACAAACATCGATACTTTGTAATATTACAATTTGAGGAAAATTGCTCCCAGAATTTATCTAGTACACTCTTCAAAATCCCAAGGACAGCATTTGTATGTCTTTCTATTGGACATTCATTCAGGCTGACAGCACCAGCATTTAACAGAGGGAAATAAATACAAGTAGTGGTTAATGCTAATTTAGAAAGAGGTCAGTAAAAATTAATACACAGTTTTGAAGTATACCATTTATAATCAAAATAGCCAAGAAATAGGTTAATTGCAAACTTCTTCTTATGCTCATATATATATACACATATACATAGTTGAAATTATACTTGTTATATTATAAAACAATACTACATTCCTTAAATATACATCTTTTTCTATCTTTAGGTTTTTTTTAACCTTCATCCCTTTTTCTTATGTATAAACTAATATTTGGGAGCCAATCTACGATCTCCAGTTGTTAATATTTTTCTTATTCATGAAAAAGCAGTGGTGTGTGTATGTTTACAACTATTGAAGTACTGTGCAAATGAGTTAAAAACAAGTGTCAGTTTACATTAAAATTGATTTTTCATCAAATTTTTACCTGACTATCCTAAGTATTCATTTTACAAAGGAAAGTGCTTTGGAAATAACTGTTTTCAAAGGAGGAGGAAGGAAAAGCTGTGTGAGCTTTCTTGAAAATGAAAGGTGATGTGACAGACCCCTTGGGGAAATTAGACTGACAGTGAGGAAATACATCGTACCTTCATCTCTGCTACTAATTAACCCTTTTCTTTTAGTTAATTCTGAACATTGAATGTTTCCCCAAGTGGATCTGAATGTGATTAGCATAGGAAAGTATTTCTGGCATGGGCCAATTCAGGTCGTGATTCTTTTCGAGGCATATTATTTGACTGATTATTTTACTAGGGTTCTACTTTCTTAGGAGGAGGCCCCTAGAGAATTATTTTTTGTTTTTGTTTTTTTTTTTTTTTTGAAAGACATATTGTTAGGTGGAATTCTACTCTTTGCCAATAACCCCTACCCATACTTTCTCTGTAGGAACCTTTGGAGCCTGGAAGAGGTAGGTAGATACCCGGTACCTGGTAACAGTTTTTTGGCATTTGTTTAAAGCTGCCGGTGATCTCAGTGGGAGGTTGCTATGACAATTTGCAAACCGCAGAGGCGGTGGAACTCTGCGGGAGGTGCCTCTCTTCCCATTAAAGTCTACACTAGTTGAGGCCTGCAGCCTGGGTCCAGCCAGGGGGCCTGAAGACATTCTGGCAGGGCTGAACCGAAGGAACCCAGAGGACTTTGCGAACCAGGCACCTCTCGGAAAGTGCAAAGCATAAACTTTCGGCCTTGGCATTCAGGATCTGTCCGACTTCTCCACCCCATTCACCTCCCCCCTCCCCCCCAGTAGTTTGCAGAGGCAAAAGCTGTGACCTCTAGGACAAAGGCACACAGTACCACGCACAGAGGAGGCGCAGGTGTGAGATAAGGAAGCAATCATGTTGGTCTCCCAGGGAAGAAAAAGGCTGTGTAGATGGCTAATGAAAAGGGCACCGAAATCCTCCACGTGTCTTCGAAGGGGAATGAAAGATCTTCTGGGAGGATGAAAGGAATTAGACGTGTCGCTCTCAGGCAGCAAGAGAGCTGAAAGGAAGGTGTGTCTCTCCCAGCGGCCACACAGGGGAAAGGCTCCGAGTTGTAAGGAAATGGGAGGTGTCTCCGATGTTTATTTTTGCCTAGCAACCCGCAGCCAACTGCTTCCCCCAGCTGCTGTCCACACGCGCCTCTCGGCCTCCCCGGGTCCTAGCGACTAGGAGAGCGGTCACTCGGTGTCAGTAAATCCAGGAGTGTGTGTGTGACTGGTGGGCAGCCCCTCCTTGCCCATGCTCGGCTGTCACCTAGCTCAGCGACCGTCCCCTCCCTGGGCCTGACGCTCCGAGGTGACCCTGGCACAACTAAGTTATCTACATGACACACTGGGGGACGGTGAGGTGTTGAGGTCCCGGGGGCCGGCGGGGGGGGGCGGTATTGTTTGTGAGCAGCCATTCGAAGCCGCCAGTGGGCTCGTGTTTGGGGGGGGCGCTTGTTAGGGGAGGGGTCTCTGCAGCGATTTCGGTAGGAGGGCAGCTATGGTAGGTTGCGCTGTCTGGCACTGGAGGGGCGTCGCAGGCCTGGAGGGGAAACGATCGTGCGGGGGGGGGGGGGGGGAAGGGAGGAGAACCGAAGGATTTGGGGAGGGGGGTGCGGGGAAGAGCAGAGCAGATGGCCGGAGGCGGGGCAGGCGGAGTGCGGCCGGGGGCTGCAGAGTTTTCCCGGGGAGCCGAGGGGCGGCTCTGCAGAGAATCGGAAGGCGGGGAGGGGCTCCCCAGAGTAGCCGGGAGGGGGATGGGGCGTCGGTGAGCGCGTGTGGCCCGGGCCCCGGCGTGGGTGGGTGGGTGGGGGTGGGGGGAGGCGAGGGCGTGGCCTGCGCGCGGGGGCGGGGCTGTCCTCCTCCCGGGTCGGGGCCGGGCGCTGTGTGTGTGTGTGTGTGTGTGTGTGTGTGTGTGTGTGTGTGTGTTCGCGCGCGAGTGCGCGTGCGCGCGCGGGCCCGGGAGGAGGCTCCCGAGCCAGGCGGTCCTCGCGGCGCAGCCCGCCGCCGCTCCCCGCGCCCCTATGTGAGGGAATCGGGGAGGCCCCGTGGCGCGCAGGGGAGGGCGAGGCATGTGCACGGGCCGGGGGTTGCTGCAGCCGCCCGAGGACGAGGAGGACGGCGGCGGCGAGGAGGAGAGCGGGGGGCTGGCGGCGGCGGCGGGCCCGGGCCGGGGGGATGCAGCGCGCTGTGTGTGTCTGGCTGTAGCTGACCCGAGGCGGCGAGGGAGCGCCGGAGACCCGCAGGAGGGACGTCCGGGCGGCGGCGGCGGCGGCCGCTGCAAGAAGTAGCAGCGGGACCGGCGACGGAGACGGCAGCCTGGAAATGCATTTTCCTCTTCAGCGGCCATGTTAACCAGGAAACCTTCGGCCGCCGCTCCCGCCGCCTACCCGACCGGTAAGGAAGGCCGGGTTCCCGCATCGATCCCCCCGCCCGCCCTCCGCCTGGCCCGTCGGTGCCCGCGGGGCCTCCTCCGGCCTCGCCTGGCGGCGGGTGGGGGTGGGGGGACCGCCGTCTGCGGGACCTCGAACAAAGTCGGCGGGGCGGTACGCGGGAGCTGCGGGTGCTCATTGTTGCACGCGGGCCCAGGGCGGCCCCGCGGGGAGCCCTTCTCCCCGAGCTTGCTTCCCCCTCGGGTCCCGAGCCTGGCGACGCCGCGGCGCCCTCCTCTGCTTCCCCCCCACACCCCCAAATCTCTCTCCTACTCAGCTTGCAACGTGGGCCGAGTAACCCCGGCCCCGCCTGGGCTTCCGCGCCGGGTGGCGAACTCGCGCGCCGGGGCCCGACTTAACTTTGCAGCTGCCGGAGCCCCGCCCGGGGGTGGTGGGGGGGTGCGCGCCCGGGAGCCCCGACGCCCCCCGCTCGCCCTGCGGCAGCGCGCGCGGCGCTCCCTCCGCCTTCTCCCGGGAGCGGGGGGCTTCGCTGCCCATCGGGGTGTCGGGGGGAGGATCTGGGTGGCTCCCCCCTCCCCGCACACCCCTCCTTTGACCCTCTTTTGTCTCCTCTCGTGCGTGTGACTCTCAGGCCGAGGAGGGGACAGTGCCATTCGCCAGCTTCAAGCTTCTCCGGGGCTCGGTGCGGGGGCCACCAGGAGCGGAGTGGGGACCGGCCCGTCCTCCCCCATCGGCCTGCCACCTCTCCGGGCCAGCAACGCTGCAGCCGCAGCCCTCACGGTGAGACCCAGCCCGCGGGAAGGCTGGGCTGGGGGCAGTCCGTAGAACCGTGGGGAGGGGGGAAGGAAGGGGGGGTGTGGGAACGTGGAGCCTAAGCCAGAAACCCCCCAGACTTGGGGTGGTGATGCCGGGCCGGGAGGAGAGAGGGCGAAGTGCAGACAGTTCCACGCCCCTGGCCAGGATCCTGTCCTCCCTCGACGCCGCCCTCTGTAACTTGGGCGAACCCAAAGCTGCAGCCACAAAGGAAGATTCGTGGCGTGGGCCCCTCATTTCCCCTCCGGAGCCCGCCCACCCCTGAGCTCCTCTTCCTTGGGACTTCCTCTTTACCACTTTTCTTCCCTCTTTCTCTCCCTCCCACCCTCTTCTTTTTTTCTTTCTTTTTTTTTCCACCCTAGCTTCCTAGAGCTCCCAGCCCGGTAAACACCCTCCTCCCCCCCATCCCGTGGGTAGTAAGTATTTATAGAAACAGATCTGTGTTAGGGGACAGCCAGGCCGCCCTGCCCGGAAAATCGATCCCCAAAAGAGTCTTTTAAGGCCTGGCTTCGGCCTGTAGGGAGCACCGCCAATTGTCCCCCGCGTGTGTAAGCATGTTTTATGAGGGCTACAGGTTTGAGCACAGCAGAAATTGTAATTAACATGAACAAAAATAAGAGCCACAGCAGCAGTCAAAACAAGCCACCCCTGCAGGAATCTGTAGTTGGATATTATTCAGAAGGAAAGGGCCAGCTTCGCTTTGTAGGTGGCCAGCAAGGGAAGGGCACCTGGCAGGTGCTGTGGTCTTCCCTAGAGAGCCCAGCATGGAGCTGGTGGCTGCAGAGATTGGCAGGTGAGCTTATCTTGGCTCCCAGGGACTACCCTTGCCTGGTGCCCATCAGCCTAAAGGAGGTAGGTGGTCAGGGGCATAATGGATAGTTTCCAAGGTTTCTTTTATATCTCAAATCTTTCACAGGACGCCCCTTAGATGGTTCTGTGGGAGAGATGCTTGCTAGAGATAGGGTTTTGTGGGCCAAGAGAGAGTTGAACTCTTACAGAAAAGACCATTTGTATGTAGCCTGTAAGGGAGTGTTCCTGGGGGGTGGGGGTGGGGTTCACTTGTTCCCTAGAAACTTGTTTGTCAGAGGAGAATTTATGTGAGGATGTCTAGACTGTAGTTGTGCCTGTTGGACCTGGGGAGGTGTAGACAGTTTTCTTAGAAAATGTTCTTTCATCGTTCTTTTTTCTTGACACATCTAGTCCTAGGGGCTAGGAATTTATTACACAGAAATTAATGTGGGTTGATGAAAGGGAGAGAGTGTGCAGGTAGGATGGATGATTTTGTGTATTGCTGATTATGTTCTCTTCACAGTGATATAGTTGAGTAACTGCTATTGGTTTTAGGAGTCATGATTTTTTTGTTTTTTTGGTTTGGTTTGGTTTAGACTCATCTGACAGTTTGGAAAATATAACATCCAGTTTTTTTCCATGTGTTGATGTAATCACATGACATGATGTGAACTGGGAAAGAAGTATTTGGTTTGCATCTGGCTTACAATTTTGTAAGGAAAGGGGTTACTTGATCAGAGGCTCTGTGCAATTGAAATATGTAATGAAATTAGAGAAAACAAAAGTTTCCAATGGAGGGGATAGCCTGTGTATGGTGTGTCAGAGAGGGAAAGAAGTGCATGTTTTCTCAGTACTTCTAATGATGGGTGCTGGTGTTTTGCTGTGGCATGTGTCAGATTTACCTGTGTTAAGTGTAAACTTCAGTGTGCTGTTGATCATTAGATGCTTGGTTTTGAAAGTGGGAATTTGGGTTTCAGGTGTTGTTTAGTTTTGATTTCAGAGAACAGGCAAGTTTGGCACACACAGAGTTTATCTGGTTCTGCTCCTTCCTTTTTAGATGACGATGCCAAACTCCACAAGTTAGCTGCTTGGTGAGGAGTCCCTAGTCAACACAGAGTAATGCATATTAATAACCCCACACACTCCTGGAGTCTGGTTTTAATAAACTACCTGGCATGACTGATTCTAGGAATTGTATTAGCTTTATTATAAATGCAGGAACTATCACAGATTCATATTCTCATAGGTCTGTCTGCTCTTACAAGGTTTTACATTATAATTCTAGAGCATCTACACCTGGGAAGAACTGTTGTTGAATGAGTGCAGAGAAATGATCATTACAGAGAGGAGAGAAAAATGATCTTTTCAGAGGAACATATCCATATTTTCCCTTGTAAATGATATAGTGGGAAGGTAAATATGTGATTAGGAAGATTATCAGCTTTGGAATTTCCCACTTCCCTTTCTTTTCTGCCCCTGAGTATCTTTAGTCACTTAGTTTATTTCTGTTTGTCCTAAAATTATACCTAATAAATATCTTGGTTCCTGTTAAGTTTTTTTTCTGTTAATGTCATGTGGGAAATATTAATATACTAACTTTTTAAAATTCTGGACTATTAATATTTGCATTACTTTTCTCAACTTCCAATGTTTAAAGCACTCTATAGTTATAAATTTTACCCTTATAAAATAATTACAATTAAAGATGTAAAGTTAATATTTTTAAAAGTAGTATTATTTTAAAGAAAAAAAAGTAGACATCTGACTTAGGGCCTATCAGCTTAAGTTGTGGTGTTTCTGGACTCACTTTTATTACTGTAACACTACATAATATTCCTAAGATGACTTCAAAGAAGTATTAAAACACCCAGAAGTAGCAGCACTTGTTTTCTGTTAGATTCAAAGTACCAAGCTCATGAAACTGTTAATTTCACATAAGTTTTAATACTAGGTCTTTTATGGTCAGAAGAGGCTTTTGTAGGTGTCTCTGTTTTAGCCTTTATCCATCCAATTTGAGGGTGTTTAGATCATTACATTAATTCATCTGCTGTATAATTTAAATGTGACACACAGTGTTAGACATTAGCAAACAGGAATAAGTCATAATCTCTGATTCCAAGAGGCTTGAGTGAGAGTGAAAGGCTATAATATTCAATATCCTTAAGTTTGTGATGTGGATATATACATATATGTGTCATATGTATGATATATATACATATATATGTATACATATATATACGTCATATATATATATATATATATATATATATATATCTATATATATATATATAGATATATATATATCTCCTGGAAATTCCGGCTTTTCTGGTTCCCCTCCTTGTAAATTTTGTTTGTTTCATAGAAGAATTAATCATGCTTTTCAGTTTGGTTGTGAGTTCAGAGTCCTGCAATGCTGTAGATTCAAAGTCCTTTTTTTCTTTTCACTAGAGCTCTCAAATGATTCTCATTATTTTGTTTGGGGTTGCAGTGCTTCACATTCCTCTGGCATCCTTGTTCGCTCATGTTTGGAGCCTCTACTACTTAAGCCATACCTACAATCTGACATTTTGCTGGTTGATTGAAGATGGTGGCAAGTGTATTCTTTTGCCCTAGGCTTGCTTCAAACCTTAGTTCTCCAAGTCCTAGCCTCCTGAGAGTGAGGATTACAAGCATAAGCCACTGCTATTCCTCTTCAAGTGACTTGAATATCTAGAAAGTGTAAAGATCCACATGTGGCTCTTATGTATTTAGTCTCTGTTTCTGCTGTAGGTGCTTTTTAACTCACTGCCCTTTACCTCTAAATCTCTGCCAGTGTACCAATGTACTGCAAGCCTAATGTCTTGTGACTTAGGGCACCAGGGACATTTTTCAACACCCTGAATGTTGACTTTATGTTTTATTTTGAAGGTACAAAAAATACCCCTTAACTGCAAGAGAGTTAAGGACTGTCATGTGTGCTCCTATTCACTAAATAACCATTGAATATTTACTATAGTTCATAGGGACTTCAAAAGTATAGAGGGGACCCTGCCCTGGAATTGTTCTCAGCCAGGTGGATGAAATTGATGTTAAAACAATTATAGTAAAATGTAGTAAATATCAGTGATATTTCAGTGTACTACAAATGCAGAAGTAGGTGTGTCATGGATCAGAGGAGGTAAGAGTTGAACCAGGCTGGCACTGAAGAGTGAGTTGAACTTATCATTTAGATGGTAATAGGAAAGACATTCCAGGAAGCATTTGGAAAGAATGATACATAGCTCTCACTTGCTAAGTATGATACTAAACACTTCATACATACTGCCTTTTAATCCTCCTTAGAGCCCTACTAAAGAAGCTTTCTTATGTTTTCTTTTCTTTTTTTTTCTTTTCTTGAAAAACAGGACAATAAATAAATTGCCGATGGTCACACCATTGTTAATGAATGTTATTGGACATTCATATCATATGTATTGAACGGAAAACCTCTGGGCTTCTATGATGTGACCTCATCAGAAATAGTTGTCTAAAAGAGCATGGTGTTTCCACAGGCCTTAGGGGAATTCAGCTTCCTTTTTGGAGAGAAGGGTAAGAGTGGTAGGTGAGATTGAAAGGGCCCAGGTAATTTAGGCTTTACATTAGAACCTTGTGTCCTTACTGGGAAGTTTTTGCATTAGTTGAGAAAATGGAGTGCATCTTTGGTCCATGAACAGAAGCATGAGCAGTCTCACATTGAGATTTGTAAGCTGGTACTCTAGAAACATGTTGGGAAGAAATTTGAAGAATTCTAGGTTCCAAAGCAGTGTTTTGAGGCCATTTCAGTGTGCCCAAATGACAGGAGTGTAAGGTGGAAATGATGACCTGAGTGGATAGACAATCAGGAGGCTTTGGGGTGATTTGGGAAGGTGAGGGAGATGTTGAGAGGTTATTCCAGGTAACTAGTGCCAAGGACTCACAGGTCTACACAACTAGAGTATATGTATGTTGAGGGGAATTCTTCTGTTTAACAAAAATTGAAGCATATGAGAGGAGGTAACCATATGATAGAAAAATCTTGAGTGTGAATTTCCTCTTGGAGAGGGCTCTGATTAGCCATAAGCATGTATCTTAAACCTAGCAGACATGGATTCTGAGGGTCAACTATAGGATTCTGCCAATTCATTTCATGCATGGTACTGAAACTTTGGTTCACGTCTGGATCACTGTGGAAGGATTGTGGGGATTAAAAAAAAAAAAAAGCAAATGAGAGAGATTGATGCTTGACCCTACCTAAGGGCAAGTGAACTAATAGTTGATGTGGCAAAAAGAGACCAAGGGAAGATAGAGAGAGAGATGGTCCAGGGTTTTTTTGGGGGGGAGGGGGAGGGGTAACTTCTCTCATTCTGGTTATATTTGATATCATTTTTTTTCTTTTTTTAAATTTTATTTTATTGTAAAGATGCTATACAGAGGGGTTACAATATGAGTAAAGCAATGAGTACATTTCTTTTTTTTTTTAATTGTGAAAATACCGTACGGAGGGGTTACAATTACATAGGCAAGGTAATGAGTGCATTTCTTATCAAGTGTTGTTGCCTCCTCCTTTGTTTCCCCTTCCCATCCCTTCCTATCTCATTTTTTAATTGTGAAAAAAAAAAATCTTGCTGTAGTAAAACTCACAGTGAATTTATCATGTTAAAAGTTTTGCTTAGTTATCATTTTAGGAATCCTTACAGCCTTAGCTTTGTCTTTAATGAAACTTGATTCTTTCTATAGCATGTATACAAGAACATTGGTTTTATTCTTCCAAAATAACCTCTATCCTGGCCTGAAGAAAACAGTTCTTCAGGAGACATGTATTTCAAATTTCAGGTCCTTTTTTTTCCCCTGGGATTTAAAAAACTAATAGGAATATAGAAGATGAGGCTTGGGAAGAAAAACACTGAACAAGCCTTCAACCATTTTTATATATACTTAAAACATTCCTAATACATCTTTTAGTATATTTTAGCCTAGCATGAAGATGAATAACCTGTCCAGCTATCTTAATAAAATATAAGGTCACCTAGCTTAGAGCATTATCTATGACTTAAAAGAGCCCAACTAAAAAATCTAAAAATCTCTGAGAAATAAAAGTCCCAAGTCTATGAAGTCATAGACAGGCCCAAGTACTAGCTTCAACTTTGTTTTAGAAGTGGAAAGAAACCTCATTCTAAAGATGGTCATTATACCTGTTACGTGTCAGTTAAAATGTGGGTTTCATCTGCTAGTAGGAAGGATTTAGAATTTCATTTTACAATTCAAGTATTCTCAAACCATTTCTCAAATTACTGTGCTATTTCCACAGCAAACTTTTCTTCTTCTTCACTTTTCTCTGAGAGGTAGGGAGTTTAGTAAAGGATAACAGAAAAAATAAGCAAAATGGTGACACAGGACTTTAACTAGTTATGTCCTAAGCTTTTGAAAGTCAGGGTACATTGCCCCTGTGTGGCTAAACTGACGTTAATATTAAATAAATGAGATGAATTGTGAATGATACATTGATCTTTGGTATGTCACGTAAAAATTGCATAGTACGCTGCTTAGAGGAAAGAAAAGGAGTTTTTGGCTTACCCTGTCTGTTTTATTTGGACAGCAGGGATGGTGTTCAGGGATGGTGTTTGTGTCTGAAATAGAAATTGCTTCTTTGTATTCTTTATAGGAAAGTAGAGCATCCCAGAAGCCTCTGTCTCAAAAGATTGCTGAGCCCTAGACAGAAAGAAGGCCCCAGTAGTGTGGTGGTTGCTTGGTTTGTTGGGCTGAGTGGCCTTAAATGGTCATTATAGTCAGTAACTCCCAGAAACTTTTAAAAATAGGTTAGAGGTTTACAAGATAACTATAGTGCATGTCCACATGGGGATCTTTTGAGGCTAAAAGCACATTGTAACTTCAGCACTGGGTCTTGTATATGTTCCTGGGTTTAATCAGTTTTTCAGGGAAGAGAAAGATGCTGGTGAGAAGGTGTTTGCAGAATGGGTCTACATATTGGAGAAAGAGTACACAAGACAGGGATGGTCCATGTCCTCATGTTGATAAAAGTACCAAATGAGGTATGGAAGGTGCTGACAGTGGGTGTGGGGAACAGTGTTAGATTCTTCCTGCATCCTGTTCTATTTTTATCTTAAATGTAGATTGGGTGGCACACCCATGATGTACCAGGCCTGGAACTAAATACTAGGGATAGGATAATGACCAAGACACATTGGTCTCAGCCTCCATGGAGAACGAATCCTTAAGGATCCTGGTTATATACAGCAAACTTACTTGTCTGTCAGATGTGGCCTGTGCTTCCTAGGCTTACTCTTGTCTTTATTGAATCAGTCTGTCAGCGTGGTATTCATTCTCTCAGCCAGGCATTCGTGGGGTCTTTCTTGGGTGACCACTTTCACTTTGTAAAACTATTTCTGGTTATGGAATCAAACCAAATTGGATTTTGTAAAGTTGAGGGTGAGGCCTGACTTACAAAGTCACATTTGAACCAGGCAGGCAGACCTCTTCTGTTCTACTCACATGTCCTGTCTGAATTTCAGATTGGTGGCAGTAAGCACACAATGAATGATCACCTGCATGTCAGCAGCCACGGCCAGATCCAGGTTCAGCAGTTGTTTGAGGATAATAGTAACAAGAGGACAGTGCTCACCACACAACCAAATGGGCTTACGACGGTGGGCAAGACAGGCTTGCCCGTGGTGTCAGAGCGGCAGCTCGAGAGCATTCACAGGCGGCAGGGGAGCTCCACCTCTCTGAAGTCTCTGGAAAGCATGGGGAAGGTGAAAGCTACCCCCATGACACCTGAACAAGCAATGAAGCAATACATGCAAAAACTAACGGCCTTTGAACACCACGAGATTTTCAGCTACCCTGAGATATACTTCTTGGGTCCAAATGCAAAGAAGCGGCAGGGCATGACAGGTGGACCCAACAATGGTGGCTATGACGATGACCAGGGATCATATGTACAGGTGCCCCATGATCATGTGGCTTACAGGTACGAAGTCCTCAAGGTCATCGGGAAGGGGAGTTTTGGGCAAGTGGTCAAGGCCTATGACCATAAAGTCCACCAGCATGTGGCCCTGAAGATGGTGCGAAATGAGAAACGCTTCCACCGACAGGCAGCGGAGGAGATTCGAATTCTGGAACATCTGCGGAAGCAAGACAAGGACAACACCATGAACGTCATCCACATGCTGGAGAATTTCACCTTCCGAAACCACATCTGCCTGACATTTGAGCTGCTGAGCATGAACCTCTATGAGCTCATCAAGAAGAATAAATTCCAGGGCTTTAGCCTGCCTTTGGTCCGGAAATTTGCCCACTCGATTCTACAGTGCTTGGATGCTTTGCACAAAAATAGAATAATTCACTGTGATCTTAAACCCGAGAACATTTTGTTAAAGCAGCAGGGTAGAAGCAGTATTAAGGTGATTGATTTTGGCTCCAGTTGTTATGAGCATCAGCGTGTCTACACTTACATCCAGTCGCGCTTTTACCGGGCTCCGGAGGTGATCCTTGGGGCCAGGTATGGCATGCCCATTGATATGTGGAGCCTGGGCTGCATTTTAGCAGAGCTCCTTACGGGTTACCCACTCTTGCCTGGGGAAGATGAAGGAGACCAGCTGGCCTGTATGATCGAACTGTTGGGCATGCCCTCCCAGAAACTCCTGGACGCGTCCAAAAGAGCCAAAAATTTTGTGAGCTCCAAGGGTTATCCCCGCTATTGCACTGTCACGACTCTGTCAGATGGCTCTGTGGTCCTCAACGGAGGCCGTTCCCGGAGAGGGAAACTGAGGGGCCCACCAGAGAGCAGAGAGTGGGGGAACGCACTGAAGGGATGTGATGATCCTCTTTTCCTTGACTTCTTAAAACAGTGTTTAGAATGGGATCCTGCAGTACGTATGACCCCAGGCCAGGCATTAAGGCACCCCTGGCTCCGGAGGAGGTTGCCAAAGCCTCCAACCGGGGAGAAGACATCAGTGAAAAGGATACCGGAGAGCACTGGTGCTATCACGTCGATTTCCAAGTTACCTCCACCTTCCAGCTCAGCTTCCAAACTGAGGACGAATTTGGCACAAATGACAGATGCCAATGGGAATATTCAGCAGAGGACAGTGTTGCCAAAACTCGTTAGCTGAGCTCCAGTCCCCTGATGCTGGTAATCTGAAAGATACGACATAGCTGAGCCTTACTGGGTTGAAAGGAGTAGCTCAGCCCTGTTTTTATTTGCTCAATAACTCGACTCATTTGTATCTTTTCAGCACTTAATTTTGATGTAAGACAGTCGTTTGTTTTGTTTTTATAAAATACATGGGGACAATGCTTTAAGTTTTTATACTTTCTGAAACCGTTTTTCTTTGTGTGTGTGTGTGTGTGCGCGTGTGCGTGTGCGTGTGTGTGTGTGTGTGTGTGTTCAAAAAGTACGATGAGCCTTACTGTATTTAGTGTGGCAGAGAAATAACATCAGTGGCAGGCCATTGGTTACTACATCACTGCCGTGCTTTTACAGATTGGTCAGACATTCACTATGTTTCCATGGTTCATATACTCCCCTGGGAGGTGGCCCTGTAAGGCCCTCCTGGTCTCTCCATGTATCAGTTTTGTGCACAGGTTTAGCATGTCTTGCTGCCATCTTCCAAGAATTAAGTCTGGGTGTTGGTGGCAGTTAGGGGGGAGAATGGTCAAAGTGAAAATGATGTGCTAACAAAAACCACACCCTAAGATCCCCAGCGTTTAAATTGCCCACTTAGCAGTCTGACACTCTAAAAACTAGCAGAGCAGCATTTAGTGGACAAATAGAAATGGAAATGTGTGTGTGTCCAAATTTTCTAATAGGATTGGCAAGCTGTTTTTGCAAGAAGCGTCCTATCACAGAATTGGTTTTGCACCTAATTTTAGACATGTACTCCACGATGGTTCCTTCCTTCTCCTTGCTCTTCTCTCTGTTCCCCTTTTACTGCATATCTGCTGCCCACGTTTAGTTTGCCTTCTTCCTTTGGCGATATATCCCAGACTGTTAACACCGAAAGAGACATTTCGGCTGTGATTGTGACCATCCTTTCATACTCCAATTTTTAAAAAAGGATAGCAGCCTAGCTACTTAAGAGTTTCCATAGTTCCAAAGAAGAAAGACTTAGCAGATTAGAGTGAAATCACACTTTTTAGGTGCCACTGTAAGGTTCTCTTAGCCCGGGAAAGTAACTCTTTCTTTAAAAAGAAAGATGGTTGAAAAATCCTCTTGGTGAGCTGAAGTTACCTTGGCCATTCAGTAAGGCCAGGTTTAACAACACCTTGAAAAGAGGAGAAGTTCAACTGCAAGTTAAATGGTTTGACTTACCCTTTTTATCATTAGAAGAATCATGGAAATTGCATTCCTCTATTTTATTTTACTTTCTTTTGGATTGCACTGACTGTTTTATGTGGAAATGACACTTTACCTGGAAAAGTTAACTGAGAGTTAGTTAGGTAAAAGAATATTTTCTTCTCTGAATAATGCTTATTTTCACAGTGAAATTTTCAGTATTTTATCACTAAGGTATGAACAGTGAAGTATATCAATATCAAGGCACGTGGAAAAAGTTCTTTAGTATGTGCAATTTAATATAGAAAGATTTCTGCCTGTTTGGATAATGGGTTTGGGGTAGTATAAATTAGGATAAATAATCTTTTATATGCACAGATATTATTGTATTGCCTGTGAACTGATTTACAAGTACTTAAGGCACGGTCCCCAGTGAGGCCAAGAAAGTTTCCGGTTAAGTTCTTTGAATATTAATTCTACAGTTTCTCTTATTTTAAAAAAATAATGTCATTTACAACAAAACATTTTACTTCTCTTGAGACCTTGCCAGTTGATGGTAGAAAAATATGCTCAGGAAATATTTCAGATATTTGCCAAAAAAAAATAACCCAGTAATAAGGTTAACTTATTGATAAGATAGTGATGTCGCTACTTGCTTTAAGGGTGTCACTGATAAATTAATTTGTACTTCTGTATTTAGAAATTGTAGCTAATTTCCCTTAGTCAAATTCTTTAGCATATTGTACACGTTGCTCTGTAACCCTTGAAAGTGCAATAATGTTAGTAAATTACATTTTAAGTAATGCTCATGTGACAATACCCCCATCAGTGGCTTAGAGGACTTACCATTTGTGTATTTATTCAAACTTCAGCTTAAAAGCATAACATTCATAAACCTTAGTTTGGTGGTGGTGTAAAACCACGAACCTCTTTATGATGGTTATTTTCTTTAGATCATTAAAATAAAACCGTATGAAAAGCTATTTTCTCCTTATGAAGCTCCTCCTCCATCTCCACTCTCATTTGCACATGTAAGTTTAAATCTATGAACCTGAGCCTGCCATTACCAACTTCTCTGTAACATGGTACATGTGAAAATGTATAAGTGGTCTAATCCTGCTTTACTTTCCCCTTCCACACAAAACTGGTTCCTAAGATGCCAGCAATGCATTTGTGTCTGTCTTTATTCACAAATGTGACCGGAAACTTTGAAGCCAAACTATAATGTGCAGTGCTATGGGGCTTAAAAAAAATTTTTTTTTTTTTTTGTCCAACTACAGTACAATATCCGTTAGTCACAAAAGCCCCATGTTTTAGCATTTAGTAATAAACTGCTTTTTCAAGTTTCAAGTTTGATTATAATGTCAAAAACAAAAAAAAAATGTGGCATCTTGTTGACTTTTAAAAAGTAAATAAAGGGCTCTGATAGGCTAGTAGGAGTTGGCTTGGAAGCAGTCTCACAGGTTCCCATTGTCTAGGGATGTCTGAGCTGTTTTCAGACTTAAGAATGGCACCGCGTCGTCTTGTCTTTGGTTGCAGTCTCATCTGGCTCCATTTCTTGCACACCAGAGTGCTCATTACCACATAAGTGTGTGTCGCTACAGCAGTGGAACAGCAGTGATGCAAGACAGTGTAGATTAACAGTAGAAGAGAAATTGTGCCCTTAGTGTTAACAATGTGCCTTTTGTTCTGAATGCCATGTTGTGGGGCATGCATTGTTTGGCCTCTTTAACTGTTTGAATACTAGGTAGGAAGGATGGAACCCACCTCTGCAAAGATACATCTGTCTTAAATATCTAGTTACAGGCCTTAATAGAAACCATAAGGCGTGAATTTCATCGTCAGGCGCTGAATGAGGGAATTCCTGTGTTTAAGGGGTTAAAGATTGTCTTTATTGTATCTCAACATCAGACTGATTTTTTAAAAGATATTTTTTGTTATGCTAACACTAGACAAAAATCAACTGTATTTGTAAAAATTTACCTCAAACCATTTAATTTTATAGTGTGATTAATCCCAGGGCATTTGGTATGAACCAAAGTGCATTCCTTTTATATGTGCCTGGCTTCTAGTAAGGATGGCCAGGGATTTTTACAACTTGGGTGCAAGGCACTTAAGCCACTTTTAAACTTAATAGGTGGTTTGAAGTCATGTTAAATGACTCCATCAGAATGTTCAAAAAACACTTTCGGCATCAGTAGCATTGGGCCATATTGGAATCTTAAAAAAGTGTGAGTTATTTTAAAGAGAGCATTCATTTTTTTTTTTGTACTTTTTTTCATGTAGAATATTTCTGGTAAGCAGAAGACTTAAAAAAAAAAAACAAACGGATTTGGTTGGTAAAGGTTTTAATATTGCCCAACATAATGCTGTGGTAGCATTAAAAAAAAAAGTATTTGTGAACTCTTTGTTTCTTAGGGGCTTGTACATCTCTCTGCTATGGACATAGATAAAATTAATTGTAATTATACTCAGCTCAACTGCTACAGTTATGTCTAGGCAGTAGCTTGAGTTTCTATCGAGCAACAACTTAGACACGTGACTGTAATATGCTGCAACTGTGTGTACTGAAAATATGTGAAAATGGTTGAATGTGGACTGTGTATATATGTATGTAAAAATTTTTGTGAGATGCTGCTGTCGCCACTTAACATAAAATATGTTCTAGTGGATTTTAATCCTAGTGGCCAGTTCTATGATACTGTATGTATTGTACAGCTGCTGACAGGAGTAAGACTGTTTAGTGAATATTTGTTAAATTTTATTGTTGTGGCCAGAGATAATTTCAGAATAAAATTTTAATGTCCTACCTTACTTTTCTCCCCTGTTCTAACTATAATTTAACTCCTCATCTATTTCCTGTATTATCCTTGGTCTGTCAGCCTGGAGAAAATGGACATGCCAAATGGACAAGTTTGGCACCAGTGGCTTGAAAAGTTTAAAGTAATCCATTCTCTTAGTTAGTTCATCAGCAGTAACTTATTAGTTCAAGGTAAATACATAAATACCAAGTTCAAAAACACTAAGGTTTTAGAGGACAGCTCCTGCTTTCCTCAGGCTACTCTATTTGCCTTTAATGTTTCCATGTTAACTTGCTTTATATGGTATCTGCCATGCTCTATCATGCTAGGACTTGCAGACCTCTTTTTTAACTTGGAAGGTGGTCCTACAGCTAGCAGTGCAGAGTCTGTCAGTTCTTCCCCTCTCGTTTCCATTCCTTCCTGGGCACAAACTCTGGCCAGTTAACACTCTGTGACCACGCAAGCTTTTTAATGTGTATGCCTTTGCAGGTTCTGTACTTCTGTGTACTCTATGGTTCACATTTGAGAGTTTTCCTGTGCTATCATAACTGAATCAAGAAATGAGGCCTGTGAGGTTCAACTAGCTCCTGGTATGTCAAGTTCAGTTAACACCAAGTTAAGAGTTTTCCTATTGATGATGGCAAGCAGATGCTCTGGTAATTTGTCAGATGTAGGGATATAATGAAGACAAGAATTTCCTTCATGTGGGAAGAATTACCTCACATTTTAATTTACATCTTTCCTGCTACCAACAGCCAAGGAAATACCTTAGTGTAGTGTCCTACATCAATGGTATGATTTGCTAAAGCAAGAAAATACCTAAGAGTTCCAAAGCCTAACTTTTGTCTTGACAAGACTATGCTATATATAGACTTCCATTTTGACTTCTCAAAGTTCATATGCAGTGTAAAACAGATGAGACTACTAACCAGCCAACCAAAGTTAAGAGGATATTTTCATTAATTTCTAAGGTGGAAAGGTGGCACTAAAGCAGCAATTTGATTTATATTATCCAGACCAGACTATGACAAAATGTACTTGCCCACTCATTCTCTATTTATTAAATCTTTCAAAACTTTTTCTTGGATTAATTGGTGTTACATTCTGCTTGAATCTCTTTAATCACTTTTCTTTTAGAACCAACAATACAAGTATATCTTGGAAATTTCCGAAGTTGCCTTCAAACCATCCCTAGAGAATGTAACTAGGTGATATGGATACCAGTCTTTCTTTAAAAGCACTTTTCTGGTTTGGAAAGAGCATTCAGAGTGATCAGAAGAAATGATATTATGGCTTTATTTCATACTATTGTTTGCTTTTATAAAAGTTTGAATTGCACTGCATTTTCTTTGCCCGTTATACAAACACTTGTCATTGTTAATACTTGATGCTGTCCCCGACTGAAAAATCACTGCCAGTGTGTTGCCCACACATAAAAAAGTGGCATCCTCCTGCAAAATCTTTGGTTGGTTTATTTGATTTGGCTTTGCCTTACTGTTTTAGTGTTGTCTATTTTAATATCCATAATACATTTCATATATACATATGTATGTATGTGTATGAAAGTATGTATATATATATATATACATATATATGCATATATATGGGAGAGGAATGATAGTTGGCATTTTCTTGCATCTCAAGTAAGTTCAGTGAGGACACCCAAGAACTAACATTTACTTGTCTGCAAAAAGCTGACTTGAGTATTAACTAGCCATCTATAGTTAGAAGGAACAAGGATGCTTTATATCACATGTGTCAAGACAGCACTGGTCCTTACAAAGAATAGAGGTGTCCTTCACACATTGCATGGTATCCTATGAACATCAGTCCATCCTCAGATAGTCCTTGAGTTGCTATTATCCTCCCTTGGTATCTCAAGACAGACTTTCCCCAAAGTAACTTTGTATAAGCTATAATATTTGGGACCTTAGTTGTAACAGGAAGTTTCGGTCTGAAATACTAAAGGAAAATGTCTAACCACATATTGCATGATTTTAAAAATATAGACGAAAAAAATTGAGGACAAGTGTTTTTTAGTTTTTTGGCCCACATACCTTTTAGTTAATTTGTAAAAGAGTGACATTGACATCTCTGAGTTTAATTATTGTAGCTTTATTCTTTATTTTCTATGTTCTTACATGTTTCCATTTTTCTTTTGAGTATATGAAAATATAATTTTGACACTTTATTCTCAGGGATCCAGAATTAAATCTTACTGGTCATAGTAGAAGTAGGTAAATCTCTTTTTTAATTAAAATGTGCTCAGGTTTCCTGTCCTTCATTTCCATATTTAAGTAGAGAATGCCTGCCAGGGAAATAGAGAAAAATTAAAACTTCAGATACAATTTTAAAATACCAAATTGTAAATAAACCAATTTTTAAAACCAAAATATTGTGTCTTTCCTTGCTTTTTATTCTAAATTATTACCTTATTTTGAGGAGTTTTTAAATATTAAGATCATTTCATTTGTAAAAATGAACCATTTTATTGGTAAAACAAAGCCCATGAATACATATTACTTAAGTAAACACTTACTGAATTGTTTTCAGTTGTATGAGGGAGATATGTGATTAATTTACGTAGACCTTCAGTAAGTAGCATGTACGTGTAAATCTGGGCACATTTGCCATCATCATATCTGAAGCAGACTGCCCCCAATCACTTTCCCTCAAATTCAATATACTAGATATTTGGCTTAAGTAGGCTTAGATTTTAAAATATAGGCATATCCAAGAAATAGAACCTTATTAATATGTAGTACAGATGGCATTTAAGAATTTATTTAATGCTGATGACAGGCCAAGTTCTGTTGTAAGCACCAGGAATATGTAGTATTCAGCAAAAACAGACATTGTTCTTGTCTTTAGGGAGTTTTTAACTGGTTGGGAAAACAGGAATTGTATAAATTTATGGACAAAGAATTGCTAGGAAGAAGAACATGTGGTATCGTGTATCTCAATGGCAGTGGGAAGTTGTGTTGTATGTGTGGATCATAGATTGCTTTCTTAAGAAATAAGTGGCTTTTGAGCTGAGCAAGAGCAGGGTAACTAGAAGAGCAGGTTCAAGTGGCTGGAACCCAGAGAATGAGAAAACTGATGTGAAATGAAGCTGTTAGGTGGCTGGGCATCAGACCATGCCAGTCCCTGTAGGTGTTGTCTTTATCCTATGGCAAAGGTAACAAACAGGATTTTTAAGAAGAAAAACATCCTGTTAGCAAATTGCCTCTCCCCTGCTGTCTTTAGTATATATGTACTGAGAAAGGTAAGAGTAGAAAAAGGAAGACCATTGGAAAAGTTGGCAAGAAATGGATCAGAGTAGAGATGACTATATGAAACAATGGATTGAAGTTTCTTTAGAATACACAACTATTCAAGTGTACAGAGAGGGGTGTTTGTGTTGCTACATTACAACAAAGGGAATTAATAATATCTAATTTGTTCAAGGAAAGAGTTAACTGGTTACCATTAGGGAGTACTGGCAAATTTTCTTTTGCTGAATATTTGAGGACGGAATAAAATTCAATTCATCTACCCATTTGTTCAAAAAAGTTTCAGAAACTTTTAAGAGATTATAGAAAATGTGGGAAAAGAAGCATTTGTGGAGGTCAGATAAGACAAATTCTCCTAGAAAGCAATCTTATTATGTTACTTCCTCTGCCTCCTTTCCTTCCTTCTCAGGTATGGTCTAGTTTTCTTTTACATGCAAAGGATGTGTTCCAAAATCCCTAGCGGATATTTGAAACTATGATAATATCCTGGTATATGTCATATTTCTTTATGAACATATGATAAAATTTTAATGGATTAATTAGCTATAGAAATAGATTAATAAGCTGGGCACTGGTACCTCACTTCTGTAATCCTAGCTACACAGGAGGCTGAGTTCTGAGGACTGAGGTTCAAAGCCAGCCTAGACAGGAAAGTCCATGATACTCTTTCCTCCAATAAACTACTCAGAAAAGGCTGGCAGTGGTGCTGTGGCTCAAGTGGTAGAGTGCTAGCCTTGAGCAAAAGAAGCTCAGGGGCAGTGCCCAAGCCCTGAGTTCAAGCCCCATGATGGCAAAAAAAAAAGATTAATAATGGTAGTAATAAAATAAGATCAATTAGAACAATACCAGTGTGATAGAACAGTGTAAAATAGTAGTGTTAGAACAGTGTATAACAGAATAAAACCAGTGTACTAGAATAATACCAGTATATTGATACACTTTAACAAAATTTATACTCTTGCTCTTCAAGAGCAAGATAAGGGTTACTTGAACTCAAGCACTGAGATTCCCTGACAATTGTCTTAATGGGAGGGTAGTATATATAGCTCACATACACTGAAAAAAAAAGGATGTTTCACATCCACACGGGATGTTATGATATTTACATTACTAAGCATGGCATGCTATGTACAATTCATGAATTGTTTACTTCTGGAACTTTCATTTAATATTTTTGGACTCTGCTCAACTGACATGGGTAAGTAAAACCATGGAAAGAGAAACCTTGGACAAAGGAGACTATTCTGTTTGGATTGGGTGTATTTAGTATACCAAATCAAAGCATAATAAAGGGAAAGGGAAAGAAGAAGGTCTTTGCCCTTGAAGACTTTATGTTTTTTATTAATTTATTAATTTATTTTTGGTGCTGGTACTGAGGCTTTTTCTTAACTTTCTTAAGGTTGGCACTCTCCCACCTGAGCTACGCCTCCAGTTGTAGCTTTTTGATGATTAACTAGAGATGAGTGTCTTGGATTATTCTGCCCAGGTTGGCTTTGAACTGCCATCCTCTGATCTCAGCCTCAGAAGTAGCTAAGATGACAAGTGTGAGCCACCATTGAGCAAAGCTCATTGACATTGTTATTGAACGAAAGAACTTCAGGGAGGTGGGTCTCTAGACAAGTCTCGATGGAATCCAGATGAGTAGAAAGAAACACACTCTAGTAGAGAATTGCTGTAATTGAGACATATAGCATTTGCCTATCTATCTGTGCAACATTTATGGAGTAACCAGGTGCATAAT